TCGTGCCGTTCGGTCGTACGTCGTCCTACGTCCTCCGACGCCTCCGTCGTTTCGGTCCGGCCTTCCGGTACCCGTCCTCCGTTTCCCTTCCGTTTCGTCCTCCTCCCTCCTCCCTCCTCTCCCTCCTCTCTCTCTCTCCCTCTGTCGCCCTCTCCATCCACGCCGCCACCACCACCATCCGTTGATCGCACCTCGACCCCCCGAACCGCCTAGCCGATATGGCGCCGTCCTCCAGCGAGGCAGGGCCCTCGTCGTCCCGGGGCAAACACAGGGGCGGCTCTTCCTCGCACAACCACGTCCGCCCTCTGCCCATCCCGGACGTCGCCCTCTTCAGCATCGAATACCCGGGCATCCTCTCGACCGCCTCTCCGACGCAGCAGCAGCATGGCGCCTCTTCCGACGTCGACCATCAACTCAGCTCCCTCGACAAGGCGCTCGCCACGCTTCACGCCTCGTCGCCCCTCCCGCCCGTCACCAGCACGCCCCACGCCGCACTCGGCTCCCTTTCACAGATCGCAAATGGCTCCCAAGATCACGTCGAGTGCCGCCTCGGCCAATATCCGACCTCCTCGGACCCTCGCACGCACACCCAAGCCGACGCCGTCCAGATCTACCGCAGTCCGCTCCTCGGTGCGGCCGTCGACACCGGCAACATTGTCATCTGCATCACGAAGCGCACTTGGCGCAAGAAGAAAAAGAGGCAGAGGACCAGCGAGGCAGCCGGTGCTCAGGACGACGAGCGGCAGCAGCAGCAGCAGCAGCAGCAGCAGCAGCATCGCTCCGACCACGATTCCAATGCCATGGACATCGACCCGGCGCTGTTGGAAGGTCAGGCTGCGCAGGAACAGACTGCAGCCACAGCAGGAGCACCAGCGGCGGACGCAGAGACAACAAGAGGTACCGCCACCGTGCCGGACGAAGACCGATACACTGGCGAGGTGCGGCGCGAGTACAAGGTCGAGGTCGTCGGCGTCTCCACAAAGACGGTGCGCTTCCGCTCCATGGCCGACTTTGCCTATCGCCCCGACCTCGGCCCTCCGTCTCGTGCCAATCCCGCATCGTCGTCGCCATCCACCTCGCCAGCGCCGTCGTCGTCATCGCAGCTGCCGCCGGCCGGTGCCGCCAGCAACCCGTCTTCGGCTTCGCCGGCACCGCAGCCCTCGCTCGTGCAGTGCCACGGCGATCCCATCGTCGAGCTGCACGCGGCGCTGGCCACCATGGACCTGGCCAAGCTGCGCAGCTTCGAGATGCCAGAGCAGCTGCAGGACTACACCAGGGTCGACGCCGCCGGCCGCGAACGCTCCAACCTGCGCATGCTCCCACCGGCGTCGTTTGTCCGCCCGACGATACCCTTCCACTACAACTTCCAGCAGCACAACAAGGCCGAGCTCCGCATGGTGCCGCGGCCGCGCCACCGGGCCCAGGTGCTGGACCCGGCGCGCACGCTGACCACGTCCAAGTCGGACGCCGACCAGATCCAGCGCGTCGTCAACCGGATCCGCCTCTTCAACATCGCGCCGCGCGCCTACCGCCTCGGCAAGGACAAGGCCGTGCCGCAGGGTCCCACCGAAGAGGTCAAGGCCATCGAGCGGCGCGTGTCGCCCGACGCCCTCAAGCGCTTCCGCGCGCTGCTGGCGCAGCGGCCCATCTGGTCGCGCATCGCCTTCACCAACCAGCTCGAGGAAAAGGACCGCTACGAGATCCAGGGCGCCAACGGCAAAGTCTACTTTGCGCTCATCAGCTACTCGATGTCCGGCGGGCCGTGGAGGGACACGCTGGTGCGCTTCGGGTACGACGTCACCAAGCACCCCGAGTCGCGCTTCTACCAGCGCCTTTTCCAGCGCGGGCGCAGGCGGTGGGGTGCGGCTGCGGCCCAGAACGCCGCCAACGCTGATGGCGATGGTGATGGCGATGGCGATGGCGATGAAGGCGGCGATGGCGAGGACGGCGAAGATGACCGCGGCGACAGCGCCGAACGAGTCGGCGACGCGGATGGCGACGATCACGACCGGGAGGGCAGCGGCGAAGTGTCTCCAGACGCAGCCGTCGCCACCTCGCCTGCGCCTCAACCCTCGTCGGACGCTGCCGCTACCGCTGCCGGCGCTGATGCTGCTGCTGCTGCTGCTGCGGCGGCGGCGGCGGCGGCGGAGGCCTCGACGACCTACCACATCTTCAACGGGGTGAGCCTGCAGCGGGAATTTGGCAACTTCCAGCTGTGCGACATCACCGACCCGGTGGCGTTGCCGTACATCCAGCGGACCGAGCCCATGTCGCTATCGTCGATCGACGGCGATGGCGACGTCGACGTCGACGAGGGGGACGGAGAACGAGGGGCAGGACGTGGTGGTGTCAGGAAGGAGGTGGCTTGGTTGAGGGACGAGTGCGATGACGATACGGGGTGGTATACCCGCGAGGCGTGGGATCTGATCCGATCCGTGGTCAATGCGCGCTATGGACGGTTGAGGGAGAAGGGCGTCGTGTGTACCGAGGAGGAGGTGCGGCAGGTCGTCAGGAGGTGGAGGGATAGGTGGTCCGAGGACGAGCGCGAGCGCGAGCGCGACGGCCTCGTCGGCGTCGATGGTGATGGTGATGGGGAGACCCAGATGGAGCCCCAGGAGCAGGAGCAGGAACAGGGCGACGACGACGACATGAGAGAGGCAGATTTGGACCCGGCCCTGCGATCGTAGTGCGCAGAACCGAACCGCCTCTGCTCCATCCCATCATCCGAACAACGGCGACATGCCCCTCTTCTTCCCTCGCCTGCTCCATCGACTCATCGGCGTGGGTGCGTCTGTGCGTGCAAGCGAGGAGAAGGTCGCAACGCAGAGCAAGGGGGACGGGGCATCGGGAGTGTGGTATGTATTGGCGAGCGTGTGTGGAAAAGTCAGACAGTGAGTGGACAGGCGATGGAGGATGAGGATGAGAGGAAAGAAGAAGAAAAGAGAGCGTCGTCCTTTCGAGATCCCACAGAGGTTGCGGCGTTAAAAGAGAGGAGGAGATGGTGGCGTTGAAGACGAAAGAGGGTGGGAGGGAGCAGGGCGGACGAGGACATGGGTGGCCCTCGCTCGCTCGTCAAGCTGCCCGCTCGTGTGGCTTCGCGAGGCCTCTTGGTCTACTCGTCCTTCTTCTCGTCGGCAGCCTCGTCCTTCTTCTCCTCGGTGGCGGCAGGGGCGTCCTGGGCCGGAGCGTCGGTCGACTTGGAGCCGGCGTTCTTGGTCTGCGCCTCCTCGAATGCCGTCTTGAAGGCTTGCGCGTCTGTGGGTGGTCAGAGGAAGCGCAAAGAGGAGAGGGTGTCAGAGACCGTTCTGAGACTGAGACGAGGCAGAAGCAAAGCAGCCCCGGCGACCCTGCGGACCTCGGCTCAGACTCACTCTCAGAGTTGGCGAATCGGATGGCGAGCGTCTCGGCGGTTGGCTCGCCGTCGGCGACGTCGGCGGCCACGTTGTACACCCAGGATCGGTCCGAGCCGACGTTTGGCGAGAGCTTCATGTCGGAGGTGACTGCGTGAGACGGGCAGAGGCGCAGGCGAACGAGGCAGCGGCCAGAGCAGAAGAGGGACGGCGGGGGTCAGCCAGACCGCCAGTATGGCATCGTGTATGCGCGGCATTGCAGCGGCGGGTCGTCGGCGAACTCACCGTAGTGGTTGGCGCAGACCTTGAGGGTCTTGTCTCTCCTCATGACGAGGCGGACCTTGTTGGTCTCCTTGTGCTCGAGCAGGCGGACGTCGCCGGTGCCGCGCTCCTTCCACTCCTTGGCCTCCTTGTCGAATCGGAACAGCTTGGCGCGCCTGGCGTCGGTCGGAGGGGGAGGTCAGGGTCGGGCGAGGGGTGTGAAACGAGTAGACGTCGTGCTGGTGTCAGCGTCATGCTTCTGTTGCAGTGTGGCGCCACCGCCGGCAAAGGAGGCCGATGCTCACATCTTGAAGAGGACCGACTCGTCCTCCTCGTGCGTCTTGACCTCTACTTGCTGCTCGAGCTTGATGACGGGCTCAAACTGGGGGTCGTTCTCGGCCTCGGCCTCGGCGGTCGGCTCCGTGGCGGTCTTCGAGGCGGGACGAGGTGAGGCGAGGCGAGGCAGGCGTGGTGCAGGGCGGCGAGGTCAAGGTCAGCATGGGGTCGAGCTGGCGGCCCCGGGTGGAGGAATGGCCTGGCCGGTGGGCCGGCATACAGATGGCGCCAGCGGCCTGCCCGAGCACAGGTCGCTGGCATGGCGCAGTCCAGTCACTCACAGCATCGACGGTGGGCTTGGTTGCTTCAGTATCGGCCATTTTGCTGTTGGACGGGGGCGGGCAGGGCGGGGCAGCAGGCAGGCAGAAGGGGTAGGGGACGAAGGGTCAGCGGGCGGGGTCCTGGGGCTGCCGGAGGCGAGCAGCAGCGCAGCGGCCATGCTCCAACGGTGCGCATTGCAGCTGGTCCTTTGATGCTCACACGAAGGTCAGATGGGTGGTGTTGGCGGTGGTGGTGGTGGTGGCGATGGCGAAGGGGTGGTGGTGATGGTGGTGGGGGTATGCGTCGGGATCGGGGTCAAGGTCGGGGCGTCAGGAAAGAGAAAGCAAGGCACAAGCAGGCGGCCGTTGCGCTCCCTCTCTGCCGTCGTCAAGCCAACCACCCGAGGCCAGGCCAGGCCAGGCCAGGCCAGGCTGGCAGGCCAGCGTCCTCACAAGCTCAGCTCTGGCTGGCCGCGTAGCCGTGCCCTGCCCTGCCTAGGTCGCCTGAGGCTGGGGAGGTCTGGCCAGGCAGAAAATTCCAAAAAGTTTGTATTGCGTACCGTGGAAGCCGCACGCAGCCAGGCGGCAAATTCAAAGGTGTTGGTTGGCCTGAGGCCTGGGCCAGGTCAGGCAGGCAGGCGAGCAACACTTTTTCGGGCGCGAAGAAATCGACGCCGGCCCGCCCACAGCAGCAGCGGGGGGTGGGCAGGGCCTTTCAAATTTCGAAGGCCAGCCCGTGATCGTTGGCACTGGGGCCAGACAGCTCGGTTCCGAGGATGCGGGGTCCACCCTTTCGACGCCGCTGGCTGGCTCGCTCGCTGGCACTCCGGCGGACGGACCTCGCTCGCCGTCTTCGGGCAGCTGCTCGACGCTTGCCCTGGCCACCATCACCGCACCGCTGCCATCCATCTTCGCCGTCGAGCCACCGCCTTTCTGCTCGCTCCCTACCAGTCAGCTGGACTGCACTGCTGCCGTCTCCGGCCTCTACGACCTCGCCCGCCTGACGACCCGCTCACGACCACTGCGCCAGCGCCAGCGGCAGCTCCAGCTCCAGCTCCAGCAAGGCTTCTTTGAAGCGCACCCCACGGTCCCGCCCGCTCCGCCCTTCACCATGCCCGCCGCCATGCGGACATCATCGCTCTGGCTTCTGCCGCTCGTCACGCTGCTGGTGACGCTGCTCGCGGCGCTGACGCCCGCTGCTTCGGCGCACATGATTGAGCTGCTGCCGCACTCCAAGGAGTGCTTCTTCGAGGACCTCCACCACGGCGACCAGATGACGCTCACCTACCAGGTCGGCGGCGGCGGCCACCTCGACATCGACGTCATCCTCACCGATCCCAAGCTGCGCGCCCTGTTCGAGCAGAAGCGCAAGGACACCGGCACCTACAGCTTCACCGCATCCGAGGACGGAAGGTACACGTACTGCTTCAGCAACGAGTTTAGCACCGTCAGCGACAAGACTGTCAGCTTCAACGTACACGGCATCATCTACGTCGCAGACGAGGGCGACATGCTCCCCATCGAGCGCGAGATCCGCGACCTCGCCGCCGGGCTCCAGGCCGTCAAGGACGAGCAGGAGTACCTCGTCATCCGCGAGCGCGTCCACCGCAACAGTGAGTGCGCTGTGCGCGCGCATAGGCGCACCCCCCTCGACAGCTCCTCGACTCCATATTCACGTCTCCCTCCGTTCCCTTGCCACACCGTCGCCTCTGGCAGCGGCCGAGAGCACGAATTCCAGGGTCAAGTGGTGGTCAATCATCCAGGCCTTCATCTTGATCGGCGTCTGCGGCTGCCAGATCTACTTTGTCAAGAGGTGCGTGTGCCTGTCCGACGGCGGCGGCCTGGCGCTTGGCGGTGGTGCTGGCGTGCCGCGCGTGCATGCTGACCCTCGAATCGTCGTCTCGTTTACCCCTGTCGTCCCTCTACAGGCATTTCGAGGTCCGGAGGGTGGTCTGAGCTCCGTAACCTGGCTGGGCGAGGCCGAGGCCAAGGCCAAGGGCCGCCGTCGACGAGAAGCCCTGGTCACTGCGCGGGCCTGGCGCACAGCCCGCTGGAACGGATGGGACAATGCCATACCATCCCTGCCTGCTACCCTACCCAAGACCCGGGGGACGCACGAGACCTGAAAAGAGCTGCATGACGAAAAGTGTGTGAGGAAGGGAGCAAGAAGCGAAGAAGGGGTAGGTATTTATACAGCGCCGGGTGGGAGCGAGAAACGAGGTTGAAAGGGGGTAGGGGCCATCATGAAAGGTGAACGCGACGAGAGCAGCGGGCCGAAAGGGGGAACGAGAGGAGACAGAGAGAGGGAGAGAGAGGGCGACGGGGCCAGTGCGCCCGCGTCCGCCCGCTCACTCGTCGCTCTTCTTGCTCTTCTTGCTCTTCTTCTTGTCGGTCGCTGGCGTGCCGTCGACGTCGTCGGCGCTCCGCTTCTTGTCCTTCTTGCTCTTCTTGCTCGGCGTCTCTGGCAGGCCCTCGGCGGCGGCGGCGGCGGCTGCCTCGGCCTCCTTCCTCTGCTTCTTGAGCGCCTTGCGCTCCTCCTTGGTGAGCTCGGCGTCGCCGTCGGCGGCGGGCGTGGCCGGCTCCGACCCGGCGGCGAGCGACTTTCTCGCCTTCTTGGCCGCCTTCTTTTCCTCCTTTGTCATTTCCTTCTTGTCGTCCGATGCCGGCGTGGCGGGCGGCGCGAGCGCGGCGGCGCTGGCCATGTCCTTGACGCCGTTGCTCGTGCTGACGGCGACGGGCGCGTCGGCCGAGGCGTTGTAGCTGCGCCCCGCGTCGTCCATCTTGAAGGCCTTCTGCTTGTAGCCGCTGTCGCCCGCGGCGTGCCTCGCCCCGCGCATCCCGCTGACGCCGCCCTGCATCTCGAGCGCGCGCAGCCGCGACTCGAGCTTGGCCCGCGCCTCGAGGCCGATGCTCGGCGCTCCCTCCTCGGACTTGGTGTCGGCATCTGCGAGCGCATCGAGGCGGATCGAGAGCGCCGCCTTGGTCGCGACCATGCGCGCCATCTGAGGGCCAGGGAGAGGAGGGAAGTGGGGGGCCAAGGAGATTGCTCCTGGGTCAGCATGGGATCGACGGCAGCAGCACGAGTCTGCCGCGGGGCCGCGGGCATAGAGCGCGACGGGCGAGGACTCACCTTTCCCTTGAGCTTCTGCGACGCCTGTCCGACCAGGCTGGCGTGGTAGATGAGGCCGTACTTGGGCGTGTCGTGCTTGGTCTTGAGCGCGCGGAAGAGGGCCTTTTCGGCGCCGAGGATCTGGACGGTCGAGGCCGGGTGCTTGGCGAGGTTCATGAGGCTGCCGGCGTGGCTGATGAGGCGGGCGCCGACCAGGTCGCCGACGAGCGCCGTCAGGTTGGGCGCGATGGCGGCCATGCGGTTCTGGAGGTACTGGAACAGCTGGGCGCGGTACTGGGAGATGGAGATGACCTGGTCGCACAGGCTCCAGATGTGCTCGAGGTCGGTCTCGGAGATCTCAGTGCCCATCGAGATCTCGGCGGCGGCCTTGAGCGTCTCCTCAATCTCCTCGGGCAGCACCTCGCTAAAGTCGGTGGCCGACGCGTTGGTGCGGAAGCCCATGGCGCGGATGACCTTGGCATAGGCGAGGTTGTCGGTGATGATCTTGCCCATCTCGGGGAAGTGCCAGCCGTACCACTCCTTGACGCGCATGGCGTAGATGTTGATCTCCTTGTCGAGGTCGTCGAGCAGGCCGATGGCCTGGACGACCATGGTGTCGACCTTGTCCGGGCTGAACTTGAGCTTGTAGCGGCTGAGGCTGTGCGACAGGCCGAGGCTCATGGTGTTAAGGTCGCGCGGGTCGAGGGAGCCGTCGCTGCTCGACGACGACGAGAGGAGCGAAGCGAGGTTCTCGCGGATGCCGCGGTAGAGGTCGAGGAGCTCCGAGTCGTACGTGACCTGGATGCCCAGCTTCTTGGCAATCGTCGAGGCCAGCTTGGATTCGGCGACAATGAGGTTCTCCTTGGACTTGCCCTTGCCGTCGGCGGCGTCGACAATCTCCTCGGTGAGGAACTTTTTGAGGCTCTTGCTCATCTTGCCCTCGTTGAGCGCCGACACGTCCTCGACCGCCTCGGCGGTGCTGGTGAAGCGGTGGATGGCCGAGAGCTTGAGCAGGTTGTTGGCCGCCTCGGGCGTCGAGAAGCTCTTGTGCAGGTCGGGCGACTGCAGCTTGGCGCTGTCCGACAGGTTGAACAGGCAGAAGCCGACTGCAGTGACAGGGGCGCGGGCGGGGGCGGGAACGCAGGCGGCAAGAGCATCGGTCGGTCAGTCAGTCAGAGTGTGAGCCTGCCAGTCGGTCAGGAGCAGCGACGGCCGCCACCCGCTGGAGGCAGGGCCCGTCCCTGCCCGTGTGGAGAGAGAGCACGACACCTACCGGCTGTCTCGAAGAGAACCTTGACCATGGTGAAGACGTCAGACTAGTGTCGTCGTGCTTGGAGCGGGGTCGGGGTCGGGGTCGATATGGACGGCGCAGTCGAGGTGGCCGTGGGCGAAGGGAAGGCGTCGGTCGGCCGCAGCGATCTCTTCTGCCGTGGTCGATGGAGATGCTCGAGGGTCGGGGAGGGTGGGAGCGCCGGCGGTGCTGATACGAGCCTCGAAGAGAAGAGGGTAGGTTCCGGTCGATGCGGGCGCGAGTGGGTGGTGATCCGGCGATGGAGTTGGGTGACAAGGAGAGCCGGCGAGAAGGACTGACGATGGTGTGACCTCCAAAGTCGACGCCGCCCGCCCGCCCGTCCGCCCGCTCGCTCGCTCGCTCGCTCCTCGCCGCTGCTGCCTGCGTCCCAGCCTGGCTCCTTGCATCCGCCGCCCGCCAAACTCAAAAAAGCCGTTCCTTCTCACCTTCGCAGGCAGGCAGCCAGGCAGGCCAAGGCCCGCTCGCTCTCTTTCTCTGCCATCAAATTTTTGCCCGCCGAGGCCAGCCCGGTTGGCTCGACGCTTGGCCGGCCGGCCGCCCCTGCGGGAAAAAAGAAAAAATCTTGCTCGATCTCTGCCGGCGCCGGAACCGAGGCTGGTCCGATTGCACCTGGCTACCATGCAACGCGGTTCATATCTGCAAAATTTCGCCACATTGACATCGCCTCCGAATTAGTTTAGTGGCTATGACGGCACCTTGTCATTCTGCGCCTCCCTCTTCGCCGAGGGAGTGACCGGTGCAGACCCGGGTTCGATTCCCGGATTTGGAGTTTCTATTTTTTCTTTACGCAGGGATGGATGCTGCCTGCAGCGAGCCGGGACTTTTTTTCGCTTCCAATTTCGGCCTCTATTTTTATTTCCTCCTCGTTTGGACGCCGAGCGGTGGTCGATCGAATCCAGGACGATCATGGCTCGAAGGTGAGCGCGCGGTGACAGCGACGGCGGCAACGGCGATGCGAGTTTGCTGCAGAGCGGCGCATTGCCAGCCAGGCTAGGCAGCAAGCGACGAGCAAGCAAGGCGCCCCTGACGAGCAGGCGTGCCGTACGGACGTGACCCGGCGTGGTGGCCTGCTGGCGTGGCATGGCAGGCGGCTGCTCGGCGATTCGAGCGCACCAGGTTGTCGGGTCGCCTAAGCGAAAGAGAGAGCAGATCGCCCGACAGGCGGCGAGCCCAGCCAGCCAACCCAGCCAACAGGCAGGCTTTCGAATGCCGGACGAGGCTGACGTGCCTCGAAGATCATCGTCGTTGTCCTCGTCGCTCGTTGCTCGTTGCTGCCGCTGCCGCCGCCGCTGTCGACGTGGGCAGACTTGGGCCTCGAAGACGGCGATCCCCAGACCTGTCCCGGCCTGAGCGCCTGCCTGAGCGCGAGGGCAAGCTCAGCGTGCGCGTGCTGGGCGCGCCCCGTTTGATGGTCGAACAACCTCGACATTCCCATTGCCGCCGGAGCTGAGCTAGGTGTCCATCCTTTTGTCGTCGATCGGAGCATGTGCCAGGATGGGATTCGCCCGCTCACAGGGCAGGGGCTAGTCTGGGCTGCGCTGGTACTTCTGCTCGATGGGGCTGGCGGCTCGACGACGCCGGGACAGGTAGGGCCCGCCTCTGGTCGACGTCGATCGCTTTCCCCAAACATCGGGCCCGCTCTCCCCCCGGCAGCCTAGCCTGGCTCGTACGACCCGGCTGTGCGTCGATCAGGTGCAGATTGCCCTTGGCTGCTCGGGGCCCGTTGTGCGAGGCATCGCAGGGGCCATCATCGCTGAAGCGTCGTTGTCGCCAGAAGACGAGAAGGTGCTCTCCCGGTCGAGACGAGATGGCAGGCCTAGGGGCGTCGGGACGCACTTTTGATGCTGGCCCGGTGATGGCAGGCATGGGCCTGGCCGAGCCAGGTCAGCGGTGCGCGGTGCGCGAAGGCTGTACAGGCGCGTCGGCCAGGAGGGCCTAGGTGGCAGCACCTGGACAGCACCTGGACTGAGGCGGTCCTGCCACCTGCTGCCAGGCGCAAAAATGAGGCGTGAGGCCAGGAGATGGCCAGGCCTCACCTCACTTCGCCTGCCTCGCCTGGCGGGCCTGCCTGGCTCGCGCCCGATCGCATGGCCAGGCCCTCGCTCGCCCCGCCGCACTACTCTCTGCCTGCCCCGCCTGGCCGTCGTCACGGCCGGCGCCGCCTCGGCTTTCCACCACCTTCACTACCACCACCACCACCCCCGCTTCCACCACCCACCCACCTTGTCGCTGTCGTCGTCGCTGTCGTCGTTGTTTCGCCGCTTCCCACCTCCCCCTTAACCCCCCTTCCCTCCGCTCTTCTCCTGCACATTGCCCGCGGCGCTCGCTCTCTTTCTCACCTGTCTATTTCTTTGGGAATCGGGTTTTGGACCTCATCGCCTCCAGCTGCACGCAAAGGGTTGACACACACACACACACACACACACACACACACACACACACACGCGCACACACACAGCACGAAACGCCCCCTGCTCTCTCTTCGCCACCACAAATTCATCGACGTTCTCCTGCCTGCACACACGGGCCGGGTCGACCGAGCTCGTCCAGATTCGCCTGGAAGTCACCGCGGGCCTGTCTCTGCCTCGACATCTCTGGCCTACTTGGCGCCCGAGACGCGTTCACAAGCCTCGTCTCTCCGCCAGCCTTGCCCCGTCTACACTCTCACCTCTCCATACCGCACCGGTCGCGCCTCGAGCGAGCTGCCAGGCGTGCCGATTATCTCGGATCTCCGTCACCTTTCGACCACCACCGCATCGACCTGGCCATCAGGCTGCCTTGGCCACCCGGCACGCTTCGTCCGCTTCGCCCTCGGCTCCTTTCTGCGCGATTCTGGCTGTCTAGTCTGCCCTGCCTCTCGACCCCTCCGACAGCACAATTGGCAAGGACGTTTCGTGGACCCGCTGCCACCACTAGCCTTGTCCAACCCCTTGGCCTAACTCTCGCGAAGGGCTCGTTCCCTGCACGTACGAGCCACCCTGCCCATCCTCCACTCTCTGGCTTGCTTCGAGCCGCCTCTGCAGCACGCGTTAGCCGACTCCAGCCTTGCGTGTCCACCCTTGCCGACCCATCTCGCTCGCGACCCACGCCGCAGACTCTGCCTCGGAAGATCTCACCAATCTCAAGGCCAGGAGATTCTGCGTCCCTCGCCAACTAGCGCAGGCCCGAGGACGAGCGAGACACGCTCTCTTCTTCCGATCCACCCCACCCGCCTTACCTTCGAAACGCAGGCCGGGGCCAAGGCTCGCTGCTCGCCACTAGCGAGGGTCCTGTCCTCGTGCCGCCGAGAGCTCCTTGTCTCGCGCGCGAGGTAACCGAATAGGCCAAGATGGGCTACGGGCCGCAGTCGGGCGGCAGCCCATTCTTTGCGGGCCCAGAGCAGCACGGCGGCGGTGCGTTCGGAGCGCCCCCGCACCGCGATTCGCCGTCGCTGCGTGCAGCTACCTCCCCCAGCTCCGCCTACCAACACACGAACCCGGCCTCGGGCAGCGTCAGCCCGCTCAACTTTGAGCAGTCCAACTCGCATGGCTCCGTGCACGGCGGCGGAAGCTACGAATACGACCGGCTGGCCAAAGGCGCACCTGGCTCTGGCTCTGGCTCCGGCAGCCTTGGCCCTCTACGGTCAAACAGCTCATCGACCAACGGCCCGGGCTCGCCCGCCAGCAACAGCATCCACAACGGTGTCGCCTCTTCGTTCACTGGCAGTTCCGCCTCGAGCTTCCTATCGTCGCCGGCCTCGAACAATGCCAGCGCAGCCGCTCCCCTGCACCTCGGCAACAGCAACGCCGCCGCCGTCGGCAACAAGGGATTCGCCTCGCTCGTTGGGTTGAGCCGATCGAGCAACAGCAGTGGCAGCCGAGCCGGCTCGTTTACTTCGATGGGCGGCCTCGCATCGGTTGTGGGCGCGGGCGGAGCTGGGCAGCCGAACAACGTGGTCGCATTCAGCGATCGGGTCAGGACTGCGAGCGACCACTCGCGCCACAGCAGCAACGGGGGTCGCGGAGCGACGGCAGGGCAGGGTGGCGGCATCGGCTCAAGCGCCAATCAGCAGGCCGCATACGGCAGGCAATCGCAGTCGCCGCTTGGCTCGTCCGCGACGAGTTTCGGGCTGCCGCCGTCCTACGGCAGCCGGTCTCGGGACATGGAGGATCCCGTCGAGGCCGCCATCCACCTGGCTACCAACGGCGTGGGCGCAGTCAATCTCGGGCCTGGCGCAGCAACCGCCCGCTCGCCCTTGGGCCTAGCCTCGCCTCATTCCGGTCATCAGCATCAGCAGCAGCATCAGCAGCAGCAGCAGCAGCAGCACCGGAAGCCCGCTGCTCCGACCAGCATCAATCTGTCGGCCGCTTCGCCGGCCTCGAATATGAGCTCTGACTCGGCTCCGTCGTCTGGTCGACCGCAGTTTGCCCGGCACTCGCTGTCGGACGGGCCGGCCTCGGTCGACTCGGGCCATTCGCTCGACGGCGGACCGCATCTGCTGGCGCCAGACTCGCGACAGTCTTCGTTCCCGGGACAGCCGCAGTCACAGCCCCAGCACCAGAGCTCGCCATCGCCGTCGATGTACGGCTCCCAGCAGCAGCACGGCCACCATGCGCAGGCCCTTCCGGCGCCACCGCCGACGACAGGCCCGCTGTCAGCGTCGGATCCACGGACCCAGCTGTTGGTCTCGAACCTTCCCTACCGCGTGCGGTGGCAGGATCTCAAGGACCTGTTCCGCAAGGCAGGCACGGTGCTGCGGGCGGACGTATCGCTGAGTCCCGACAACCGTAGCCGCGGCTACGGCAGCGTGCTGATGGCCACCGAGGAGGACGCCGTCAAGGCGTCTGAGATGCTCGATGGCTTCACCTGGCAGGGGCGGACGCTCGAGGTGCGCATCGACCGCAGCGGCGCCCTCGTCGGTGTCGCCGGCAGTGCCGCCACCTTCAGCCAGCCCAACTCGGCCGTCGGCGTCATCTCGCCCTCGCCTCACCACGGCGGCTCGGCCTCTAGCAGCTTCCTCAACATCCCGCAGCAGCTGGGGTCCCATGGACTCAACAGCCCGGCGGGCACGCTCGCCTCGGGATCCTCGCCAGCCTTGTCGCCGGCCTCGTCCCTCACCGCCTCCCAGACCACGATCACGGGGGGCCGCAGCTCGAGCTTCTCGTCGCTCGGCGGCCCCGCCAGCAACGACGACCTCAGCGGCCTGTCCGACTTTGAGCGCGGCTTCATGCAGGGCCAGATGCGAAGCGCTGCCGTGTTGCAGCAGCAGGCGCAAGCGCAGCAGCAGCAGCCAAGCGGCGACCAGGGTGCAGCCCTCCGCCAGTTTGGCGGCGGCGCTGGCAACGGCGGATCTGGACATGGCCAGCGACCGCTGTCATCCTCGGTGCACGGCTCCGGCGCCGCCGATCCGGCTGCCTACGCGACCCAGGGCAACGGCGGCAGTGCTGCCTGGTCCGCGACGCCCGAAGCTGCCGCCGGCATCGGCTACAGTTCGAATCCCGGAGGCTCGTCGGTGCCCACCGGCATCCCCGGCGCCGCGGCGATGGCGCCCTGGCCGGCGGGGCCCGGCTCGATGGCCTCTGGCGGCGGCTACGGCGTCCAGGCGCAGCCGTTTGCGCAGGGCGTGCCCCCCGGCGTGGCGACGACGTCGTACGCCGGTCGCGTGCTCTTCGTCGGCAACCTGCCCTTCCACTGCCAGTGGCAGGACCTCAAGGACCTCTTCCGCGCCGCCGGCAACATCCAGCGCGCCGACGTCGCCATCGGGCCCGAGGGTCGCAGCCGCGGCTTCGGCACCGTCCTGTTTGCCACGCAGGAGGATGCGCAGAATGCGGTGCGCCTCTACCACGGCTTCGAGTACAGCGGGCGCACGCTCAAGGTGCACTTTGACCGCTTCGCCGCGCAGAACGGGCCGGCGGTCGGCACGCCGGGTGCGCCGTCGCAGTACACGGGTGCGTTTGCTGCCGCCCAGCCGCCGTCGCACGTGTCGCACAGCAGCCGCATGCAGGGCTACCCATCCCAGCCGCACTCGCACTCGCACTCGGGCGGCGCGATGCAGCATGGCCGTCAGCCCGGCCCGATGGCTCCGCTCGCCGCGAACGGTGGCGGTGGGGGGGCACCCGGCTATGGCTCGATGCAGACCCAGTCCTTCTCGGCGCTTGGATCTGGTGTTCCAGGTGCGGGCTTGGGCCAGCATGGCGGCCGGCAGCAGCAGCACCAGCAGCAGGCCATGGCCGGGTACGGGCAGGCGCAGAGGACAGGCGTGGGGCTTGGCGGACCCGCAGGCGGCGCAGGTGGCTACGATTCACGCCTGCAAGCAGCACAGACCCAACAGCAGCAGCAGCAGCAGCAGCAGCAGCAGCAGCCACAATACCAGGTGCAGCAGCGGCCGCAGCAGGCGTCCCAGCAACTTCACCACCTGCAGCAAGAGGACCCGCAGCAGTGGCGGCTTCAGCATCAGATCCAGCCCGCACCAGCAGCAGCGACAGCCTCCTTTCCAGCAGCAGCAGCAGCAGCAGCAGCAGCAGCAGCAGGCCGCTCAGGCGCAGCAACAGGCCTACGGTCAGGTCCAACAGGACCCCTCGCTGCCTTTTTGCAGTTCGGCCAGCCTCAGCAACAGTCGCAGCAGTCGCGACAGCAGCAGCAGTCGCACACGCGGTTCGACCACGCCGGCTTCGCAACGATGCGAGAGCAGGACGAGGCTGCGCGCGACCTGCTGCACCACGCCTCGTCCGCATCGCACGGCTCGTCACACTCGCACTCGCATTCCCTGTCGCTCAACGGCCCGCTGGGCAACCCGGCCGCCTTCCTGCCGTCGGACCTGATGTCGCCCGGTCTGACGTCGCCGTTGCCACCGGCACCAGCCGGCGCAGGCTCGATGGAAGGAAGCGGCGCGCACCCGGGCCGCATCCAGCTGCCGCCGCAAGGCTTCCACGGCATCGCCCCCGGCCAGATGAGCCCGATGCACGCGCGGATGAGTGTGCCCATGACGCCCGGCATGCCCGGCTTCACCTTCCAGGCCATCCCCGAGACGCCACCGCTGTACCCGCAGTTCCTCAGCCCGGGCCTGGGACCCTTTAGTCCGCCGCTGGGCACGCCCCACGCCGCTCCGCCGCCCCCTGCTCCTGTTGCTGCCGGCAACAACAGCGTCGCCCCGGGCGGACCGGCCCAGGCACAAGGCTTCAACGGGTCCATGGGCCTGGCAGACTACAACCCCATGTTTCCCATGCACGGCGCCGGCATGCAGCTTCCGGCCGCGCAGGCCAGCCTGCCGCACGACCACCTGCAGCACCAACACCAGCAGCACCAGCAGCAGCAGCAGCTGCAACACCAGCAGCAGCAGCTACACCAGCAGCAGCAGCAGCAGCAGCTCCAGCAGCAGCCGCCGACGCCGCACTGGTCGCAGGATTACAGCACCCATCGACGGCCGTCGGACCGCCAGCCGATCGGCCCTCTGCGTTCGCGCGTCGACGCCGGCGGGTCCGACTCGATCAGCCACGTCCCGGACCAGGCCACACGTGCCGACATTGCCCGCACGCCAGGAGCCGGCCCGCGTCGACTGCCCCCTGCCGCCGCTAGCGGGACCGGAGACCGATCCGAGGGAGACTTTGGCGGCCTTCGCCGTGCCTCGGACGCGACGCCGGGCACCGTCACGCCGCCTGCCGCCGACGGCTACCCCTTCCCATTCGTCTCGGGCAGCGGTCCTTCGTCTGCGCTGCTGGCTCGACGCGCCTCGACCAACTCGCCGGCCGGCAGCCCCATGCCAGGCGGCCCCGGCGAGCGGCGCGAGAGCGACCATGCCCAGGAGGCTGCGGGCATGGGCAGCCTGTCCGCCCACGATGCGCTCGCCTCGGCCAGCGCCGAGGAGCTCGCCAAGACGATCGCGCGCCTCAGCGTCAAGGGCGCCGCGCTGGCAAAGGACCCCAACGCCAAGCGCAGCCTCAGCATGACGGCCGAGCGCAGCGCTGCCGCCAACGCCATGGCGCGCCTGCGCGAAAAGGCGGGCACTCCAACGCTCCAGGCCGCCGGCGACGCGCCCGGTGTGCGATCCGGGGCCACGACCGCTGACGGTGGCGTGGCTGCTCGCTCCAGCCTGGGAGCT